AACCCCGCGGAGACACCACCCCCCCGCAGGGGCCGTGGCCGCCTTCAAGCCCCGGCCTCCTCCCGTGGGCAGCCGCCGCTCCCGCCGCCCCGTCGGGGCCCACGTCGCGAGGGGGTTGCGGGGCGCTCTGCCCGCATTTGCGCGTCTGTTTGGGTTCGGGTGGAGTTTATTATTATTATTATTGTTATTGTTATTATTATTAATTATTTAAGTTCCCGGCCCAAGGAGCGGAGCTGCCCGGAGGGAGGGGGCCGCGCCGGCAGCCCCCGCCACCCCCGGGGTGCCCTGCCCGTGCCTCCCCGGCTTTGCTGCTTTCATTCGGGACGTTGTACCGTCGTCCTGCCGCGATTGGCACCGATATTACGTCTATTTTTTATTTTATTTTATTTATTTTTCCCCTGGGGAAGGAATTAACACCCCATCCCGCCCCATCCGAGTGAAACGTCGCCGCCTCCCCCGCTTCGGGCAGGTCGATCCTGGGGGGCGGGGGGAGAGGGGGGTGGAAATAAATCGATGGAGAAGGGCGAGATTTGCTGGAAATTGAAGCTCGCTGCCCGGTGCGTGTCCCAAAAACCCCTCTCGCCGGAGAAAGGGGCAGCGGAGCGGGGGGAGCGCCCGCCCCGGTGGTTCCCTCCATATCGAGGAAGGACTCCGAAATGGATGAAGAGATAGCCATTGAGTGCGGTTGAATACCATGACAACTAGGAACAACCTCAGATTTATTCCCAACAGTTAGGACACATTGAAAGAGGGCGTCAATCACGTATTATTTCGCCACTGAAATAAATGCAAAAACTGCGCCGAGACAAAGGGTTCCAACAGAAGCCGGACATTTGTCTACATTGCGGACATTGTTTCCAGCTTAGCCATAGGGTTGTATTTGTGTTTGCGCGGGTCCGACCACCCAGGATGTGCTCAGGGGAAAAAAAAAAAAAAAAAATCCCTGGGCATTGTCAGCCACATCACATACTTTATGGGAGGCAGGCTTGGGGGCTGGGGGAGGAAAGATGGGGGGGGGGGGGAGGGAGAGGAGGGGAAGGTGCGAGATGGGTGTCTGAGGGACCGTCTTCCTCCCCTTCCCACCACCAGCAGCCCCACTCTCCCTCCCGCCTCCGGGAAAGAAGAGAAACTCGCTCAACTTTTCTTTCCCAGATATAAAGGTGGGGCATGATGATGATGAGAAGCCCCTTCCTCAGACTGTAGATCCCCCCCCCTCGCCTTGCACACCACCATCATCATCATCATCATCATCACCCCCCCGTCCTGGGTCGGAGTCCGGCTGAGAGGCGCTTCGAGGAAAGGGAAAGGGAAAGGGAAAGAAGGGAAAGGGAAAGGGAAAGAGAAAGGGGGAAAGGGAAAGGGAAAGGGAAAGGGAAAGGGAAAGGGAAAGGGAAAGGGAAAGGGAAGGTTCGCGCACGGCCA